CGCCACGCTGGTCATCCACGCGGGATGGACTTCCGGCTGCCCGGTGACCCGAGGGCCCTGAGCGCCTTCACCGCCCTCCAGCGGCGCAACATCCCCTCCAAGCTCCTCGTCTTCCCCATGGAGAACCACTGGGTCCTCAAGCCCCAGAACAGGTACACTGTGTGTTACTACTGTTCCCACTTGTTTCCCCTCACCTCCATCAACCCCCCTCAGCTCACTAACATTTGCGTTGCGTGTGTGTGTGTGTGTAGTATCATGTGGTATGACAATGTGCTGGAGTGGCTTGACCAGTGGCTCAAGCAGTAAGCACAAGGCCTTGATTGCAATACCTTCAAAAGGAAATGATCTCACACACCCATGTTGCAATGATTTCAAACCAATAAAGTGAAAATGCCGTGGCTGAGCTGTGGCCCGCAACCACAAGTCGTGGAAGCTACGCCACTTTGGTTGCGGCTGCGCCGACGGTCGTGAGCGTGATCGACAGTGCTGTGCGACCAAGCCTCCGAGCTGGGCGTGCACTACTTCGCCTTCTCAGTTGCGCTGGCAGAGGTGCTGCCATCGTGTGACCGGCTGCTCGAGAGCATCGCACTGCATGCCACCAACCGGTGAAAACAAAAACTGCAAAACAACCGTTCTTGACGCTCTGCGAGCTTTCACAAATAGACTACTTAGATATTTAATTTGTATTTGTGAAAGCTGGTTGCAGTTCACAGTTCAGGCGGACGAGGAGGAAGGGTAGACATCAGAAAAGATGCGGGTCTCCAGCTTGGCCTTGATGGCGGGCCACTCGTCGTCGGTGATGGAGAAGTAGGCTGTGTCGCGGTTGATGCCCTTGTTGATCATGTGCTTGCGGAACACGCCCTCAAACGTGAAGCCCAGCCTCGCTGCCGCCGCCTTCGACTTGTCGTTCTTCGTGTCTGCACAGCATCATCTCAGCTCGCTGCGTGTTGCATGTCGTGTGTGTTGCGTGTTGTGTGTCGTGTGCGTTGCGTGTTGTGTGTCGCATGCTGTACCACACTTCCATTCGACGCGGCGATAGCCGAGGTGCTCAAAGGCGTGCTTGATCGCCAGGTAGCACGCCTCAGTGTTGACGTACGTTCGCTGGTACTTGGGCGTACACCTGAATCACCCAGCGTCAGCAGCGTTTTTCCCCCACAACACCGTGCGCGTGCTGCGTGTTGCCCTCGCGCGCGTGTGTGTCGTGTCGCCAGCTGTACCAGAGTCCGCCGATTTCGATGCGTCGATGGGCAGGCGCGATCGAGAGATAGGTGATGATGCCCACCTTCTCCCCGGTGGCCTTGTTGATGATCGTGAGCCCCACCGTCTCCTCACCCATCAGCGACCTGAGCAGGTTAAAAAAAAACCATTGCTTACGTCAGCCTGACGTAGTCAGCCATTACCCCCCCCCAAAGCCCGACACACGTACGTGAGGTACTCGCGGAACTCGGTGGTGTCCTTGAAGGGTCCGCGCGGCGTCAGCTCCCACAGGTCTGCAGGCGGAGTGGGTCAGCGAAGAAAAAGATTGGGAGCGTGGAGGGGCGAAAGTAAGCCAGTACTGACGCCGGGCGGGTGGCCGGCGGCGAAGAGCTCGTCGACGTCCTCGTCGGGCCGCACCGGCCGCAGCATCACCCGCCGGGCCGAGTCCAGGGTGAGGTGCTCCCTCTGCGGCGCGGCACCACCGGTGAGCCCCACCTCCTCCACCACCTTCGCCTGCTCCTGCTTCTGCTGCTCGGCCATCGTCTTTGTCACTACTCTTTGTGTTGGAAAGGCTGTGGCTGTTGCGTTTAGGAGCAGGGCCGACTTCTTCCGAGTTACTATTTATTGTTCCCTGCAATCGAATCCTTTAATGCAAGATTTGTATGTTGACTCAAGTTTTGCAGTGGCAGTTTATTTGTCGACAACAAGCACTAGAATTATTATTTGTAGACAACTGTCGCATTGACAGTTTATTTTGTCATACCACTCACCACTTTTTTATCTACATTGGTTTCTACATCAGCTCTTCTCCTGCCAACATTGCCCACAGCATCATCAACATTGAAGTGCACTACAGCCTCACAGTTTTCCATCTCTCCACTTCTCCTTCACTTCCCACTCCTTCTCCAGCAGCAACAAGCTTCCTGCTTCCTGCTTCCAACCCTTTCATCAGCAGCTTAGATATCCTTATAGATATCCCACCAGCACATCCCCCTTTCCTCCATTTGGCGCCCTCATCCTCTGGCCACCATCCCAGAGCCTCACTGCTACTTTCACCACATCCCCATCCCTCCCATGAAGTGTGAAATTGTTTGGTCCACACCTGCCTTCCTCACTGCTCATTCATCTGATTGCATTCCACTTCCACAATCCCTCTACAGCTTCCTCCTCCAGAGCTTGGACCTCCAGAGCCAGTGCCATTTCCCTCTTATCCTCACAGCACTCCCTGCCACCTCCTCTATGAGGCAAACCCCACCTACTATCTTTCCCTTGTCCCTGCCCTCTACTCCAACTTCATATGCCTATCCTCAACTCCCATTCCTTCTCAATCCAACATCTCATCACTTTCCAACTGCTGCTCACTTTCCTCTCCAAGTTCTGCACCAATGCCAACCTTGACACCCTCAAACATCCTGGCCTCAACCCTCTGCCACCCAAGAGCAGTGCTTCCAGCTCCTCCACTTCCTCCTCTTCATCTTCCTCTTCTGGAAGAAAGCAGTGCAAGTACCTTGCTTAAATGTTGGGCTTTTCCTTTTCAAATCCAATAAATTTCTACTTTTTCCTTTCATACCACTCTCAACAGCTACCCCCTTCATCCTCTAAAAAACCAAAGTCCAAGCAGTTTTGCACCCTGTTTCCTTCCCTTTGAGGCCTGCCTGCCCAGGACACAAGTTGCCTGGCGTAAAGCTGCTGTCTTTCCTCTTCCTCTCATTATGCCATAGGACCATCTCACTCTTTGCCTGGTCCTGTGTGGTGACCACCTTCTGATCAGGTTGAGGATGGCTTCAGCAACTGTCTTTGTGGTCACTTCAGGGATTGGTAAGACTTTGGGCCACTTGGAGAAGAGACCCTGCATGACAATGGCATAGGTGTTACCTCTTGTTATCTTGACCAATCAGGTCCAATCCCACCTTCTCCCACAGGCATGATGTTCAGATAAGCTGTAAAGGACCAGTGGTAGGCCCAGCCTTGTCATGGTGCACCTGGGATTAATGGAGTGCTCATCAAAAGTGACAGTGGTACTTTTTCATTTTTCAAAAATGTACACATGACATTTGTATGTCTGTGTGGACATGTGTATTTTGATGAACAGTGTCAGGAAGAGAAATCATGAAATCTGTACAAAGGGCTGTGCATGCAAGGTGGCAAAGGACAGGATGAGGTAAACCAAAGCCCCCCCCAAACACCCAACAAAAAATCAGTTTAATTCACTCAAGAGGTGGGTAGTGCGCGGAGGTGAGCTTGTGCAAGCTACCCCCCAAAGGACGATGACAAAGAGGAGCCAACGCCAATTAAGACCGAAGCAAGCGCACCCTTGTCACGGCGAGTTGGTCGGCCCATCTGGATGAAGGGCAAACTGCTGGAACAGCTGCTGGGCCTCCTTCACCGTTGGTCGCTGATTGACGTGGGCGTGCTGCATCTTTCGGGTGAGCATGCGAATTGGTCTCTCTTGTTGTTTCCTGGCACGCCATAGATTTTTGCAAAGGTTAAGGTTGGGAAGAAGCGCACAACAGGCATGGCACACGTGCAAAGCAGGCACATGTACCCGAGGGGATTCTGATTGAGCAGCCAGTCAATCGTTCGGCCAAGGCTGTAGATGTCCTGCTTTGGGCTCACCTCAAGGTAGTTGTCGTGGTGGTGGTGACAGCAGTGAGCCTCGTCGTCCTCATGGTCGTCGTTCCCTAACAACGCTACTTCCGTGGGCATGAAGTCACGTGTGCCCACAGGCTCGTGCAACCGACTCCCAACGACCTGCACGATAGGTGTCAGTCAGTCAAACTCTCCGCCGCTATTTGCTCTGCCCAAGTGTAGATGAGTCAACCAACCAACCAACCAACCGTGCAAATGGTGGGAGGGGACATACGCGTGAGAGGCCAAAATCGGAAAGCAGGAACTCTGAGATGGTGCGGTCACGGGTTTCGGCCTGGTCGTTGGCATCGGCGGGAGCGGTGTCGGCGTAGATGACGAAGAGGTTGGAGGGCTTGATGTCCATGTGCACGACTCGCCGCTCGTGCAGCTTCCTCAGACAGGCCAGCAGGTTGTGCAGGCACAGTACCACGTCAGCGTGCCTGAGCGGAATGCAGTGACCGCGAGGAGCCAAACATGTGAGGAATGGCATCACCAGCACGCGAGCTGACGTCTTCCCTCCTTCACCAAGCGGCCGATCCCAGAACGTGTCCAGCAGCGGCACGACACCTAGAGGTTCATGTGTTGTGTGTGTTGTGTGTGTGCGCGCGCGCGAGAGAGAGAGAGAGAAAGAGAAAGAGGCGTGTCAGTACGCTCACGCAACGCGCACGAGCACACACAACTCACCTGGCACACCGGTGGCGGCAAGATGCATGGATAGTTCCCGCTCGCTGCTCCACAGATCCCCCGCAACGCGCTTCAACGCCACCGGCAATTGGTCGCCCATGCGCACGCCGCGCCAGACCGTACTCTCGCCGTGAAGCGGAGCGTACACCCGTTGCAGGTCGCCGTATCTTCCCGCGCTGCCGGGCAACCACCTGGCCTCCACGCTCACTGGCAACGGCACCAGCGGATCGTACTCGAGTCCTCGAAAAGCTGCTTCGTGTGCGATGGCGTCCTTCGTTCCGCCGCGTCCCTTGCGTCGCTGGTTTCTCGTTGTGGAAGAGGACCCCCTCTTGGACTCCATTTCTTTGGGCTTGGGGTCCTGTGGCAAATGTTGGCCAACACAACATGAAGAAGAAGAAGAAGAAGAAGGCGTGGTTAAATATGTACACCTTGTTGGGGAAAGAAGAATGTTGTGCGCAGGAGGGGAGAAGCCAAACAAGACCAACCTTAGACGGCGTGGGGGGGAGACTGCTCAGTGGCACTCGGGCTGGTTCTGCTCCACGCTGTGAGGGAAACTCGAGGTTGGCCTGGTCTTGGATGAGCGATCGCAGCGCGAGTATGGCCCAGAACACCCGCTCTGGATGATTCTCGATGCTATCGTGGAAGAGCTCCGTGAAGGCGTAGAAGTTGGCGTGCTGCCGGGTCATGGCGAAGATGGAGATCTCGTAGCCGATCCACTGCACGCCAAAGCAGATCTGGCCAGCTGATGAGACCTTCCTTGCGTGTAGTGTCGCCGCCAGCCCCCGAGCAAGCTTCAACCGATCAGCTTGGCCGCTCGTGTAGGCTTCTGTTGGGGGCAAGAACGTGTGGCAGGGTGAGAAATGGAGTTTATGTCACTCGGTTCGGTTAGTTTGAGGATTGGCGTAGGTACCAGGGGGGACGCCCGTCGTGAACCGGTTTGTTGGTGCAGCGTTCGAGGGTTTATCCTCGACCTGAAGGAAGGCCACGCGATTGTCCAGATCGGAAGGCGTTGCCACCGAGAAGAGCTGCATGTCCGGGTGTTTGCGACGAGCTGACCCGGAGGACAGCTCGCCAGAGGCTCTCCCCCGATCGAGATCCGTCTTGCTGATGTCGTGGAGAAGCCCATCCAAGACGGGTCCCCAAACCTGGACGCGCCACCAGGTCTCTTTCTTGGTGTGCGCTGCTGACTGCAGCGCGCGAGTGATGCTGAAGTGTGCGGATAGCACAGAGAAGTGGGCAAGGCCCTCGTAGGCTTGCTCCAAGGCATGCAGCTTCTGGCAGAAGCCCGCTGACTTCCTCCACAGGGGCTCCTCGATGAGGCGGGAAGCTTGGGCGAAGACCTCCGTGGCCAGAACGCTCGCTGCTTCGTCGAACCTCTCGGTGAACCGCGCACGCACGTTCTTGGCGCCTTCCCGAAACGAAGCAGCAATGGGGTGCCTCTGGTCACAGAATTGTTCAAACTCTTCTGGCGGCCCTGTTGTGAAATTTATATATATATCACGAGAGTGTCAACAACAAGTGGCGCAGCTGCACCAAAGCAAGAACTGAGCCAACGAACCGTACCACTCACAAGGATGCGGGACTGGATGAGACCGAACGTAGAAGCCTCCATCTCCTCCCTGGCCGCGGGCGTGAACTGGGCGATGACATCGCCATCGTAGTTCTCCACAGAGAGCTCGCCAAGCCGGGTCGTAATGTCAACTACAAGGGAAGCTTGGAGGTAAGGGTGGTAGACAACAAAACAAACGGGGCATTTGTGTACCTTCTGGGGGTTCAGTCAAGATCTCGATCTCGACAAGATGGTAGATCATCTTTCCATAGCGAGGTTCAAGTTGGATGAAGTCTTTCATTGTCCAGCTGGCCAACGTGGAGCCATCACACTCTTTGAATAGGACAGCACAAGACGCAAACCTGCCTTTCGACACCGTTTTCAACCATTGCTGCACATCGCTTGTTGTCCATTGAGCGAGAGGCTCTGCCGAAAGGGAAATTGAGAGATTCAGCTTGTAAGCTCGTCCATACTCTTTAGGAGTACCTGTTGTGGACGGAGTCGAGTCCATCTCATCCTTCT